AGCAATTGCAATCATAACATATCAATATACTAACTAATAATAATCCTTCATTTTTTCAAACTATATTTTTCTTATTATTTATTTTATTGTAAAAAATTATTAATATAATCAAGTTGAAAACTTCATAGGTTTAGAGTATACTTGCCTCGTCCAAAGCCATCCTTTCATCATTTCTAATATCAGCCTAGAAAAATAAAAATAATAATCAAACATTTGTGATTTAATATTACTGTTGAAAATTATTTTGAATAAATTGAGTAATTTTGTGATTGTCATTGATCGCTTAATATTTGTTAGGCTTTTTCTGATTTTTAATAATGTATAGGAGGATATTTTGTTTTTTGCAAATATTTTTATAATTAATCAATTGAACTACTTTATTAATATAATTGTGTACAATATAATTCAATGATGTAACCAGACGTCTTTTTCAAGAGGAAAACGTTAGATATTTTATTTTTCATGCGAAGCTAAGAAAGTACTAATTTTACTATAATGTGCTTATTATTTTTGTATCTGTTACCACTTATTAACATCTCTTACTTGACCAAATTTTTGAACTAATTTCAAATCTGGCATTAGATTTTTTCTATCACCTCGTTTAAAGTGTATTACATTTACTATAATGTGCTTATTATTTTTGTATCTGTTACCACTTATTAACATCTCTTACTTGATCAAATTTTTGAACTAATTTCAAATCTGGCATTAGATTTTTTCTATCACCTCGTTTAAAGTGTATTACTAATTAGAAAACGTGTAAATACATATAAATATATTAATTAAATTAAAAAATCAATTTAAATTATTATTGATTTTTAATATGCTAAAGATAATCCATGCTAAATTTTTAAGTAATGTTTAACGTATTATTTTAATCCTTAAAGGTTGATTTTAATAAAAGTTTATAATTTCATTAAATTATAGACTTCAAAAATAAGTGTTGATAGAAAAGACATATTGCAAATTTGAAATCAACAAAAAAACTTGTTTAGATTAAGTATANATAAGTGTTGATAGAAAAGACATATTGCAAATTTGAAATCAACAAAAAAACTTGTTTAGATTAAGTATATTTTAGCTTCGATGCGAAGCTGAGAAGGTATTGGTTTTACTAAGATGTGTTTTTTTTGTGTCTGTTACCACTTTTTCTCAGCTCTCACTGGACCGATTTCTTTCAACGATACGTCAAAAGATCAAACATCATATCTAGTCGAAGACATTACCCCCGAAAATTCAAAACATTTCTCTCGTTCCCCGTAAATGTGGGAAATCTCCTAAAAAATTACAAATTTAAAAATCACTAATCTTCAACATTTTTTCAATTTTTTTTTATTTAAAACTGCCATAACTTTTTCAAAAATGAACAAATTAATATAAATTTTTTTATAGATGCATAATTTTTTTACTTATCATTTGATATTTTCTTTTTATAAATCTGACACTTAACCTGCCCACAGGGGGGGATTTAAAATGACAACTTTTTCAACTTTTGAAAGTATTCTGGAAATACTGACACTTTTATTTATACTTTAATTTAAAACTAATATAATATACTTTATTATGAAAAAAAAAATTCTGACTTCATATTGTCTTTACTGTGAAAATGGCCAACAAATGTTATTTTTATACGAGAATCCTCGATTTCATATTTTACATTTTTAACTTTATTATGCTATAATTTTTTGAAAAGTGTATAGAACAATACAATTTTTTCATGAGAAGTAGTATTTATATTCATCTTTCATTCGACATACTTTTTTTTTAAGTTGACCTATTTTCCTTAATACAGGGGAGGGGGGTTCAAATCTAAAAAATGCATATAGAAAATAGAACTTTTTCAGCTTAACTTTTGAAAGTGTACGGGAAAGTCTGAAACTTTTATATATATATATATTAAATTAAAGCTAATGTAATTAATTTTATTATGGAAAAAAAAATTTCGGATTTTATCTTGTCTTCACGATGAAAATAGTTACCAAATGCTATTTTAGTGTAAAAATTCTTGATTTTATTTTTTTATTTTTAACTTTATAATGTTATGACTTATTGAAAATTCAATTGTTTGATTATTAATATTATTATAGTTTAATTTAGGTGTCGAAACCGACGCCATGTCATCGCCTACAAAATGATCAACAAAATAATTATACATTCGCATATTATTTTATGCGATAACAAAACATTTGCTTTGTTTGAGAAAGAGCTGACACGACCGCAGGGTGTCAAACGTGTGACAACGTCGTGGCCGTTTCTTCCCTTTTTCATTCGCCATACTTTATCTTAATCAGGATATTAATAAGGAAATAGCAGATCATGTAGCTTTTGGAATAGTCCACCAATTTTTTAAAATTAAACACTATCCAAATATTTGCATCGAAGCGTTATTTTTGATAGTGATTATAATCACTGTCAGATATCATTATACTTGATCCAACTATGCCACGTCACCACTGTGTCGCGACCCCTCTGTGGTGGGTTTTGTTAATGATGAAAATTTATTGTAGACCGGCTTAGATCAAATTATTTTAAATTAATCACTTCAATTTCAACTTCAATTTTTATAGAAGTTTGCCTTAAAAGTATCAAAATGTATAACTACTAATAATTTCTTCATAAAATGTATAATATAAATTATTAATATCAATTTCAGAATAAGATTAAATATATTTATAACTGTAAATTACTAGTTTTTGTTCATATATTATACTTATTAATAAATNACTGTAAATTACTAGTTTTTGTTCATATATTATACTTATTAATAAATTAATTTCTAATCAGGATATAATTAAGGGAATTGGGGTTAATGTTGCTTTTGGAAATATCGACCGACTTCTTAAAATTATACACTTTGTACAGATATATAGCTCTTATATAGCGATTTAATGTAAATTACCTTTTATAGTTTATAAAACAAAATATCATAGTTATGAATTATTTTACCTCCGTAGATTTTGATGAAGATTCTGCTTTTACATTTTTGACACGCTTTTTTTTTCCGGCCAAAGATGACGTAATACATATAAATATACATATCAATAATAATATATTATAACAATGCATTTTTCGAAGTGTAATTTTTAGGATTAAATTTTACTAATGATATAAGAATATAGTATGTGCAAATAAAATATATTTTCAGACAATATCGATTATTATATAGAAGGAATTTCATTTGTTAATATTTTAAAAATAATTTGAAGCTTTTAAATTGCAATTTTATCGATATTCATATTTGAACTATCCATGACAATTCAGAAAACAATTGGACAAATATTACTCATATTCACAAAATAAAATTGAACTTGTAAAAAAAATTGTTAAAGTGAGTTCATAAGTAATTCTTAGCAAAATACTAATGTACTCTATAAAACATAAATCAATATTACTTTAAATATTTAAAACTAGTTTTTCTTTTAGCAATTATTTTCAAAATACCAAGGAATATTTTTAGCAGATGTCATTGTTATATGGTTAATACTTTATTTTAGATAATACTTTTTTAAAGAACACTTTTATCATTTCTTTTTATATCTACTTGCCTTTATTGCTCAAAACCCTCGGACCCCGATAAAATCTTGATGCTAACTAATTGACCAAACCCCAAATACGCCAGATTGGTCAAATTACCCCCACATATTATACTTTCATATTACTTTTAATATTACAATAATAATTACATATTTATAGAGAAAAAGTCAGCCAACTAAATAGATTTTTTTGTGCTGTTTTAATAATAATTTATAGTTTGTAAATTAAAATTTATTTTTTCTAATATGTAAAAAATAATTAACAGTGGAAAGTGGGATTAGTCTACGTTTGGGGCAAGTTAACAATCTTGGATTAAAAAAAATATAATAATGTATATGAACTTTTGTTGGTAGTATTTTATAATATATTAGCCAAATACTGATACATTTTCAATCCTTCAATAACTATGTTTACAGTGGAAACCGAGCAAGTTCATCTATAAAATAAGTCCAAAAATTTAATCTACAAAATTATTGTAAAATAAATTAATATTATCAATTATTGTGAGAGTTTAAGGTGCAGTTATAAGTATTTATAAATATTAATGAATCAATATTTATAAGAAATTAGGTTGTAAATAATATAATTTGTTATGATTTATGTTCGTTATTTTATTTTTATGAAAAATAATATTATAGTGCTATGTCCACCAAGAGAAGATACTACAAACAGATAAATAATCACTCTAAGCGATTTATAAGTGTCTAATTTTTTAAGTTGTTAGGTAAAACCAATATTATTCAACTAAATAATAGTATTTGATAACGGATAAAATAAGGTAATAATAATTAATATAATGTATGATAAAAAAAAGAAAAACGTTCAGATAATTTGTTCTCTATAAGTAATTGGTCTCATGAGTCAAAAATCATTTTATTTTTGGTAAAAATGTTACATTTAAAATTTTTTTACATACAATACTTTATTGAAGCGTTTCGCAATTGTATTTTTAATTATGTTCTAACGAAAAAGAGATGATGTTTCAGTGAATGGTTTTTGAAACCATCCATACGAGACTTTAAAATTTATTTTAAATAAACTCACTAATGAGTGTAACAATTTAATTTAAGGATTAAAACTTGTATAATTTTTATTTAATCGTACTTTTCGAAAAAAAAATTTTTCAAAAAAATTGCATTAAAACATTTTATTCTAAGGCGACGATAATATTCGTCAATGTAACCCAAAAAAAATGCTTCAACTCCACACTTTCTCTGAATACTGTCTGGACTTTTTTTTACTTTTTTTATTGTTAAAATATATATTAAAATAATTTGTTTGA